AGCAGTTCGTCAGTCTGTTCCATGCTTCTATGTCTCTGGATCTATTTTGTTCATCAGTTTATTTTGTTCATTAGATTCCACATATGAATGAGATCATGTGATACTTATCTTTCTCTGCCTGGCTTATTTCACTCAGCATAATACACTCGGGGTCCCCCCATGCTATCTCAAAGGGTTGGAGGTCTTCTTTTTTATACCTGCATAGTATCCCATGGTGTAAATGTACCACAGCTTTTTTATCTACTCAGCTACTGATGGGCACTTGGGCTGTTTCCAGATCTTAGCTATTGTAGGATTCACGTTTTTAAAAGGATTGCTTGAAAATAAACTCTGGCATAAATTTCACTTACCTACCACAAGCTTAATATTCCTGAACATCCGTTCATGTCAGACTGTATTCAGTTGTTAGAACAATATAAGCACTATTGCCACTACCAGTTCAGTTCGCAATATTTTTTAACCTGCAATGAGCTATGTACCTCCTCTAAGACTTCAATATCAGGAGACCATGTCAAGTTTGAGAATTGATGAAGTCAACTGCTTTTAATCATTCATGAACATTATCTTTTCTATTAGCACTTGTCTTATTCCGGCCTCCAAATAAGACTTGTTTTGGTTTTCTTGAAAAATGTTATTCAGACATTAATTAGAAAATGAAAAAAACCTAGATTATTAACTTATTAGAAAAATGTTATGAGGTATCAGAAAAGCTATAAATCATTAAATTTTACATATTAAAGGTGAAACTAGTTTCTTAACTGTTGTGGAGAAGAAATACATGATGTTTAAATACCATGAAATGATTATACAGCAAATAGCTGACTTGTATTTCTACCAGTTCTACAACTATCAGACCAGGTAAAAAGAAACAGATGTCATTTAAAAAATGTATTTCCTGAAGAGGAATGGACAGGGCGGAATTGTTGTCTAGGTCTTCTTCTGAAAGGCACAGTGGAATGTTGGTCCTCCTTTTCCTATTTTCTCCCTTCTTCAGGCAGGGAGGGGGAGACCTTCGTATTATTAAGGGAAAAGGCATCAAATAGAAAAGAGAGGAACACAATTGTTTCACTTTCTTTTTCCACATAAATTCCCTAAGGAAAATCCAAATAGCAGACTCTTATAAGATAATGTTAAAAAGAAAAATATAAAATGAAAGCCCCAAAGCTTGGAAAACAGAAAACAGGAATAAGAAGGAAGAGGGTAAAAAAAAAAAAAAAAAAGGAAGAAAGAGAAAAAGGAAGGCAGGGAGAGAAGGAAAGAGGGAGGGAAGGGAAGAATTTTATTAGCCACCACTCAAAATAGCCATTGAAACTATAATAATAAAAGCATAATATGCTAATTAGACCAAACGTCCTTCCAGACGACCTTCCGGACGAAGCCGGGGCTGTGAGGGAAGCCCGGGTCCTGGGTGCAAGAGGGAAGTTGGTGCCGGCAGCTGGGGGAAGGAAGGCCTACTGTTGCACGAATTTTGTGCATCAGGCTCTAGTTTTAACATGATATATTTCATTCTAGCATCTGCATCTGTGTGTATTAAATATGTATTAAATGATGCATGCTTTTGTTTGTTTTTTAACTTAGTAATATATCCTGAACATTTTTCATATCATTAAAACATCTGTACATCAAGATTTGTGACCATAATGAATTTTACTATATAGATGTGCCATAATTTATTTAGCCAATTCTGTTTTATTTAAAAATTTGATCATTTATGATTTTAAAAATATGGAACACTTAATATGTTAATGTGTATAATATTAACATGTAAACCTTGTACACATTCCTAACAGACCACAACATAAAGTTCTAAAAATTAAATTGCTGCAGCAAAGGGTTGATGTAGTATTGAAGCTTTATCACAGAAACTGAGCACCAATTTATAATCCCATCAATAGTGAGGGTACGAGAGAGACAACTTGGGGAAGTAAGACCATTATAAGATAGAAGAGGTTCACTAACTGCAACACCAGCCCTTCCTAACCTGAGAGGCTAGTTACTCCCTCCTCACTGAAGGAGTCCCCAAGCCCTTGCTGTTTAAAGGCAACTCAAAGTTTCCACCACTGTGGTTTTTGTTTACTAGAAAGATGTTAGCCCTATCTCTGCATCTAGAAATCCCCAGTGTTCTCTTCCCCAGCACATAGTCCCATAAAGAGAGAGGCCTTTGCTCTCTGTTCCCCAGCGGCCCTTCTGAAGGGGGTGTCAAGTCCCCGCTGCCTCCTGACAGGCTTTGTTTACAGGAGCCAGAGAAATTTACAGCCCGCTGGCTTCTCCTGTCCCGAGACTGGAATGCCTCCTGGTTGGGTAAACAAGAGCAAGATAAATCTCCTCTGGTACCATCGCCCTCAGCATCATCCTTGCTGGGTAATTCATTTTGTCCAAACTAAAGGTTAATCAAGCATCGAGGTACATGTACTTGACAACAGTTTTAGTTCTGAAAAGAGTAGATTTTCTTAGCAAAAGGGAAAGTAAATCTCTTCCAAATGAGGGAAGAAGGAAAAGGTCATTTAGAGAAAATTCATTTAAAGCAAGGAGGAAGTGCTTACAAAACTATGCTAAGTGAAAAAGGCAAGGGACATGTAATGGGTACCATGATTACAACAGTGTAGCATGCGCATGATAAAATAAAGACAAAAGTAGTAGTGATTATT